ACTCCGTGTGAGAACCAGTTATTCATAGTGATATAGCTTCTTGTTGGCTTTTGGACTCTCCTGCTATGTCCTCTGATATGTTTCGACCACTCGGTGGGAAGAATAAGAAAAAAATACATCGGGTCTATTGTTACTATTTAAAAGTTTAAACACTAAAATGAGATCTCCTGTCTGCCTACGGTATGACGTATAGAGAAGAGATCTAAACTGTATAGTCTTTCCTCGTATAATAAATCGATAAAGGGAAGAGTCATACGTGTTGCCTTCATTTGAGCCATTTCTGGGACATATTATTCCCGTTTAAGAAAATGCCTGGCTGACTGGGTACATTTTTTCCAGTCTTGACCTCACGAGCGATCTATGAAAAGAGATTTATGTAAAGAGATGAACATGTCTCAGGTGATTCTAGTAAACGCTCTGCGAATTCTATCTCTGTCTGTCTGGATTCAACCGAAGTGCACCAATTCGAGTTGCCACGTTCTAAATAGAACACAGAGGTAGACAAGAAGATGAGTGAAGAGAATCAATAGAGTTTGACAAGTATAAGAGTGAAACAGAATGGGTAATGGTAGAAAGAGATATGAAAGATTACAGAGACTGAATACATCTGCGCTGGCTATTGACAACGATTTTGAGCCATGTCACCTATTGTCTTCAGCCATTGATTCCTTGAGTCCCGAGGGCCCCAACCCGGAAGTCTGCATCTCCCTACCTGACTGACTCAGTTTAACTGTCAAGGATTTCATGGATTGATGAGGCCATGTTTTTGTTTGGTCACCACTTACCCTTTTCCAACCTGCACCTATATCAGCTAGCAATGCCCGTCGGGGGAGGCGAAGCGATGGTTAGGCATGCGCAGCACGTGACCTAGCCATCTCAGTCTATGTAACTTTATAGCCTCCTCGATCGATTCTCCCTCTCTGCCCAACACTCTACGCCTAACGTCAACATTACTTACCTTATTAAACCACCTAACGTGAGACAGTGATCGCAGACATCTATAATCGAAAGCAGTCAACCTTTTCATGTCTTCAACTCATATTGGCCATGTTTCAGAGCCATAGAGAAGGACGGAGCGAACTGATGAGCAGTACACACGTCCCTTGGTTGGTAACCGGATGTTACGCCCACGCCAGCGGTGGCGTAAGTTAGCGAAAGCAGCTCGAGCTTTTTGGATCCGTGCTGAGATTTCATCGCCAATCAGTCCGTTGGCGCGAATTACCCATAAAGATCTGAAACTAAGAGTTGCCACCGCGCGGTAGTGTGCTGTTGTTTTTTAAGTTGTGACTTACCATGACACCTACATCCATATGAACTGATGGAAGCGTTATTCCCTCTGTGTCGTATGAGCTGATGCTTTCGTGTCAAGTTCGCATGGTTGCATATTTTGCTATTTTTTTCTTTGGACCGTTCTAATAATTTATTGAAATCCTCTTGCAACGTAAGCATATCATTATCGCCCTTAAGTGTCTTTCAAATTTTCAAGTCATCTGCTTATATGACCATATGGGGATCGGTAAGCACAAATACAACTGATCCTTCATCTCCATGTGCGTTGTTGAGGCTCTAGCGATCCAATTTTTAAATGGAGAGCCAGTACATTAATTTTCACGGATGACAGAGATTAGTCTCTATCTTAAAAATTTTACTATTTATTTCCATGTTTTAAGGTAATTTGATATAGACACTGACGTTAGGAACAGCCTTCACTGTAGGCCTTGAACTTAAATGATCTCTACACCAGGTCAAATTCTTCAAATACGCATCAATAGTTTACTGTCATTTTCTATTGTATCCGGAGCACAGATAACCTGAATCCACTTAAGCAAGCACTCAACCAAGTCTCTCTTTCATTTCAATAGACAAAAACTGTTAGGGTTGTTTAATCACATATACATCGTTTTGTTATAATGCTATCAAAATTTATTAAATGCAGTAACCGTTTTAAATTTTTTAAAAGAATACCCCTTCCCTGTAATAGAAATATATTTCGGAATTGATATAATTCCTAGATATCTTCGTGTACGTATTCATGTTTCAACATGAAAATTGAAAGTAGTAGGAGAACAGCTTAGTGGAAATCCACAACATCTATGGTTATATCCGACTGATATATCCAGTAATAACAAGACTATGTGGTTTACCAAAAAGATACACAAAGTTGGTCATCTACTTCATCCATTTTTCATAACATTCGGTTGCAAAATGGTAAGCTGATATTCTGGAACCTCCACAGAGGTATCTATAGACTCAATGGCTTGGTGATACTTTCCAGTTCATTGATTGAAACGGTCAGCTAACGAGATTCTACAGAGTCATATGCCAGTTGAAAGAAAATGAAATTTAATTTAGCGAAAATATTCATTCAGACATCTATAAAACACAAAATAATTGAGCAAAGAATATCCTTTTGCGATAGTTTCCTCTTCTGGCTCTGGAAATATACATATATGTTTATATACACAAAATATTCTAGATTACTAGTCAATGACAATACTAGTGCTTTTTGAATAATATCGATTTGTAAAGTATGATCAATGCAATTACAGTTCTTTAAAGATGCTTAAATAATAATAGTAATAATAAGGACATAATAGCAAATAGAATAACAACTAAAATTATGTATATTCCACAAAACTTCTGGATCATTCAAGACTGGATGGCCAAGGTGAGGATAATGTCTGAACTAACTTCTTTTCGATGCACAAATTAGGCTTCTTAATTAATATGGATCCCAACGGCCAGCCTCAGCAATATTTAGTAGTCGAGCTCTTAAGGTGAAATTGAGATTTGTTGGTGTTCGGTAAATGACCCTGAAAGCCGCCTTGTTAACATCAATCTTGTGTTCTGTATCCACAAAATGAGATAGAATAGCGCTGCGAATGGATTTTGTTTGTTCGTTGCTTAACCAAGCAGGGTGATATTCAGAAATCCGACGAGAAATATGCCTAATTGTACAGCCTATATAACTGGCTCCACAGGAGCCTCTTCCATGTGTATCCACCAATTTAACTGCTCTTGTGGATGTAATTTCGAGTGTATAAGTATTACTTTTTGGCGCAATAGATAAGACAACTGCTCAACATGCCAGAATACAATTCGCATTGACACTAAAAAGAAATCTAAATAAAACCATAAATTACTTATCACAATAAGAATCATCCATATATTAATGATTTATCACTCACTGTATATTATACCAGTTACATTTATCGAATATGGAATTACATTCTATCTGCCACAATGCCTCAGTTCTAGTCTTACATAATTCTTTACACGGATTCCATATGAATGCATTCATGAAAGCTGCTTTTCATTTTATAGTCAGCCATTAAGTTTACTCTTGGCACAAAATGTTGTTGAAAGATTGACAGCAGTCTGTACCTGCATTCACACTTGCAGGTGGACCACTTGAATTGGTCGACAATTTCGTGTATCTTGGTAGTTGTCTGACTGTTGGAAGAGATGTGAAGGATGAAATCTCTAACCATATACCAACAACTAGAGTAGCATATATCAATATGACCATCTCTGACGCTATCACTACGTCAACCTGAAGATATACGGCTACTCTGCATATATGTCTCCGTAGAAATGCCTGCATCTGATGGCATCGTCGTTTAAGTAATGTGTGTTTAAACACACTGGAGGTCACCAATTATAAAGTGTAGTCATCTGGAAACACTGACTTCAGCAGTTTGGACATATTCTACGATTGTCATCCCAGTCTGTGTTCGTTAACTCTGTGAATGAATGGCAAAAACAGACAGGTGATTAGTATATGATGTGGCACCTTAGGATAGGGAATATACATGTTAGATTATCATCCCTTGATAAATAACGATTCCGTAGTTAAGGGCCAAGAGATAATTCGAATAAGATATAACCTGGGTTTGATGACCAGTCGTGGATTTATTTTTTAAAGCAAATTAGTCATTTTATTACTCAGTTTAACATGCATATATTTCTTTGATGTGGTTGTGTTTTGTGAGCTGGACAGTTTATTTGCGAAGCTTTCATTGCCCTACTGGGTGACATCTTCAGTGCATACTTTCATTTGTTGATGTGAACTTTTAGATTTCTCCACGAGTTTATTATTCATCTCCCCTGGTGACCTTGAACGTGATTGGTTACAAAAATTAATTGTATGAACTTTGGACGTCCCCTTCGAATTAGAATCCAGGATCACAAATCAGCCGTGGAAAGACACGATATATGTTCTTTAGTGTCAATGCACATAGACAATTATGGACATCAATTTGACTGGGATAATGTCGAAATCTTCGACAGAGGAAACACCAAAAGTGCAGTCAGGGAATTCCTTGAAGCCTGGTACTCAAAAGAATATGCAATTAACAGACACATTAATACAGACCAAATATACCAACTAATAAAAAGTAAATCATGTGACCATGAAGTTTAAAATCCAAGTCAATAGAAAATGATCAATACCTATGTAAAGATGGTTACCGGGAGATGCAATTATATCACTCATGAAGAAATTTAAATCACTTCACTTTTTGCTAAAATTGTGCTGAAGATGTTGTCCAGAAAGGTGGACGATGAAAGCTCCTCAACTAAACCAACCAGCTCAGACAACATTATTATAATTACAAAACTCTAAAAGCTCACTTCAACAAATGAAAGTATGCACTGAAGATGTTGCCTGGTGGGGGTAATGACAGCTTCGCAAATCAGCAGTCCAGCTCAGAGAACACAATTATATCGAAATCATCCATTTGAGCTACAAATCTTCTCCATCATATTTAAACATGCCTATGTATTTTAATGACAATCTTTTTCCAAGTCTGTTCCACCAATCACAGTTAACTCAGTTGGCTTATAATTCACAACCAATGAAATTACTCGAAATTTATTATATAAATAAAATTCTATTTCCGTAGTTATTTAGTATAGACTAAATCATGTATCCCATTTTCGATAAAATATGTCATTAAATTTTAATTAGAAACGCAAATCTTCACACATTTTCGTTCATTATGCCACAATCTCATCGTGTTAAAGACTGTTTGAAATCAATTACAAATGAAGAGATTATGTTGTATAGATTTCGTGCTTACATCTCTCCGCTACTTGCATTAATCGGTATTCCAACAAATATACTAGTCATTATAATCTTCATTATAATCGATAGACGAGGATCATGTCGTTTCAATCATTATGCTATCTGGTTAGCATTTTCCCATTTAGCACAACACATCTTCAATACACTAATTGATGATTTTCTTGGACGTGGATTACTCTGGGCAACTGGTTGTCGTATCTCGTATCAAGTTGATGCGTATTCATCATTCACGTGTAAAACACTCACTTATCTATCGGATGTATTCGCTTTGATTAGTTCTTTTATTCTAATGCTATTCAGCATAGATCGTGTCTGTTCAATATACAATCCAAAACAATTTGAACAAACAAAGCATTTAGGTGTAGCAAAATTATGTATACCTATTATATATATTATATGCTTGCTATTAAATATACCTCATATTATCAATGCTGATCTAAAGTATAATTCAAATCGTGAACTCAGTTGTGAATATATCGATCCAATAGCGAATGGAGTTAAATATGTATTATATTTATACATAATTGGTGGGACACTATTACCAGCTCTATTGATTTTTATTACAAATATCTTAATCTCATGTAAGCTAAAATCAGCGATACGTCGATCAAAATCTATCGGTTTTCATGATAAACATTCACACAGTGAGTTGAGTAAAGTTATTACTCATTTAGCTATAAGTATTATGTTCACGTGTTTATCAATCCCTCTGGTTATATTAGTTATATTACGACAAGAAGTACATTTTAAAAATTATGAAATTATTTATCCTAAATATGCGCATAAAATTATTCAATTATCTAAGTTGTTCAGTTCTTGGGAATCATTTAATCATACATTTGAATTTTTCTTTTATTGGGCATTTTTACCAGTTTTTCGACGAACATTACATCAAATGTTGTCCAGTTGTTATTCTTCATTGTTATGTAATGCTAAAAAGATGAAACATATGGATACAACAGACATGAAAGGCATTAATAGTACTTATAACATTATAAGCAATATTAATAATAATAGTAATAATAATGATGTTGTTATTGTTAACAATAATCAAAAAATAAATGTTAACAATCAACTTCATTCGTTGTATTATTTATCTGAGCCAGGGAATTGTACATCTTCATATTTCCCTACTGGATATTCGCCTTTACGTCAATATAAAGGCTGTCAACATCTACACCATCAACGTCATCCTTCTCTAAGGTATAATTATCATTACTATAAACCTGGGGAACGAAAACATCATGAATTGTATTATCATTTAGAATATAGTAAACCGTTAAGTTTTTATTGTATCGATGATATTCATAAGAATTCTATACACGATAATAAAATGAATCAGAGAAAGTTATCAAAAGATTCCAATTTTATGATGGTTAGTAATTTATGATAAAGTGTATTGTTTGATTTTAAGCCAGAGTGAAGTTGGCTGTACAAAGCTCACTTGGAATTTCTGTTGTAAATACACATAAATAGATATTATTGCTGAATTTTGAAAGTTATTCATTGTGAAACATGAAATAGAATGGAGTTTCTATGCTTTCGCTATTGCTTTCAGCCTTTCTTTTTGCTTTCTCTTAAATTGGATTTTTCATCCTTTTTATTTATATTTTATTGTAATGAGAAGATTTGAGTTATGCAAATTCTACTCTTTATATTTCTTTCGTATTTTACAATCAGGAGTGAAGTTTGTGTGCGTGTGTGTGCGCGCACATACTTCTTCCTCTATTTAAACAATTTTGTTTAAATGTATCAAATGTACTACTTAAAATAAAGCCATTATCACCAACTATTAGTGGCGGTAAAAATGAAATTTTCAAATAAACCAACTTAATGTTGTTATTGTTGTTGCTTTTTTTAGGGCTTTTCATTCATTTTTTGTTCTTTTCTTGCTATTTTTGTTTTTATTTATTTATTTGTTTGAAAAGTGCGGCATTTATGTGTATTTTTCCCCCGCCTATTCAGTACATTATCATTTTGGTGTTTGGTGACAGTATCATCAAAAGAAAGGTGATCAGTTCCTGGGTTTTGAATAAAATTAAAAATAACACACGTTTTTTGTTCAATGTGATCGTCATTATCATTGTACATAAAAAAGGGTTGTTATTTTGTAGATCTACTGTGAAAGTCGACTTAGAAATATTGAACTGATCTCAGTTACAAGAAAAAAAATACATCGAAATACACCGCTGTGTTTCTGAATTTTCCACAACTACAGATTTTTTATTCACGAATTTGAAATTATGTATTTATCTTCCGCGCGTGTTTTTTGTTCATTGGATATGTATTCAATGGTTGAAGTTGATCAATAGTTAGACAGGGTGAAAGTGGAAATGAGACAGCGAACCGAATATATATTTTAAAACAGTTAAGCAACTCAATTCCTCTTGGAGATTTTAAATAGAGATGTCTACCACTGTTAGGATTAACTTATATTCTCTCCTTGGAAAGTTTATGTTCCCCCTCCATGCCGATGAATGTCAAATTCAGCATTTTAACCGTTAAATAGCTCAGGTTGCTACTCTTAGTACTACACGATTTGATGACTGCCTACTTCACGAAATCGGATTATAATCAGTCAGGTTTGTGGAAGAGAATTCATTTCATTTGATGCTAAATACTTCATTTTTATATACATATAACTGAAATGTTGTCAACATCATAAGAGTTGGTCAGTATAAAAAATTATACTTTGTAAACTTGATATAAATGTGGAATGGTTTATTTTTTTTGGCTCTTTCTCTGTTTCCATTCAAGAGTTTTTTCGGAGTTCCGACGGTAGCGATGATATTGTTTTTGTCTATTGGGATTGCTAGCCACACTACAATCTACCCCTCTTCTCTACCGGATGGTAAACTTAATTATTATTATTATTATTGTATCCTTTAGTTCCTAGAGGAACATAGGGCTTCAGCTGCGCACCTCCATTGACTTCGGTTTTCTGACAACTTTTTCACCCTGCTCCAGGTCTGTCCACATGCTTTCATCTCCTCCTCGCATGACCTCCTCCAAGTCACCCTTGGACGACCAACTCGCCGCCTCCCTTTCGGGTTCCACTCGAGGGCTTGTCTAGTGATGTCACTTGATGGTTTCCTCAGCGTATGGCCAATCCATCTCCATTTCTTTCTGCCTATTTGTTTGACAATCGGTTCCTGATTGGTTCGCTCCCAGAGATCCCTGTTGCTGATGGTAAACTTAATGAGGTTCACGAATGGAATTCAGACCACCTTCTTGGCTGAAGTCTTACAATATTGTAATATTATTGTTCTTGTTTCCATGGGTTCTGAGTGCAGCATAGGGCTTCAACATCCCATCTCCACTTCGGCCTATTCTATGCGGTCCTCTTTATCTGGCGCCATGGTTGGTCATGGTCTCTGAGCTCCTCTTCACATGATCTTCTCCATATCATTTTTGGACAAACATCAAACTTGTGGTTTCCGATTTGGATTCCACTCGAGTGATGGCCTGATGCTCGATATCATTCGATAATCTCCTCAGCGTGTATTTGACCCATCTCCATTTCCTTCAGAATATTTTTGCTGAACAGTAGGTTGTTGGTTGGTTCCTTTCAAAAGTTCTTTGTTGCTAAATTGTTTCTGGTTGGCTATTTGACCATCAATATGAAGACAATGAAGACAGTTGTCGATAAAAGTATTTAGTGGCCTATTTTCGTGTCTCACACACACAGACACACCAAATTTCTGACCTACACAGAAGAACTGACTGACTTCATATATGTGTTAAAAATCTGAATCTTGTTCTCTGTGCTGAGTACGGAATATTTCTAAACTGATTTCAGAGCGCTTTAAAGCCTGTTTGGCCTTTCCCAATTTGGTTACGACTGCTTCATCGGGGCTGTCACCTGTAGTTAAAACAATGCTACCTAGATAAGTGAAGGAAATGACCTTTATCAGACTTTTTCCATTGCGAGTGATTGGTGTTTCTTGTCGTTTTTGTTGGTTGGTTGATTATCTTCATCAACTTCGCCTTCTCTATGTTCACTGGAAATTCTATCTTCGCCATCTGCTTCATCTGCCAGTTTATTGGTTTTCTCTTGATTTACTAGTCCTCTAGTTTTATAGACAGTTCTAAGCCCGAGAAAAGAGAGAAGGCTGGGTGTTGTAGGGTTAGCAAACCTACCCTGTAGAGAACCAACCCAGTGTCTACAGAAACAAGAAAAATATAAAAACAAACTTATCCTTGTCTGGAATCTGAGAGATAGAATGACACCGCTGGCCTAGTGAGAGCCTTCTAGAAGCCGGCCGATGTGTCTCCTCTCGAAGAAAGCAAAAACAGTCATTTGGATGTGGAGTGTTCTCACAATGTATGGAGTTGGGAAGGCTGTCCAGCCTGCCAAAGAAATGAGAAAATAAGGCATAGAAGTGCTAAGAATCTGCGACAGTAGGTGGAATGAAAGCCTAACAGTTAAATAGTTTAATTCATCTTCCGCTTGGCTTTTAAAAGAGGCACAGAATACACTAGCTACTTTTATCCAGTGAAATTTGCACCATTTAATCCGTTGACTGAATTACCCATAGTGTATTTCGTGAGGATTATTAGAGTTAACTAAAAATTTATGGGATTCAAAATCAATTATAAGTGGAAGTTTACATGAATACATTTGAACATATTGAAACTCGTAGGTGATTACTTTCAAGGAGTTACGTATGGGAACAATAAATGTTACCTGTAAGGTAAATAAATTCTGCATTAGTTAGCATTTTGATCAAATAAATAAACGTTTGATCAGGAATCACTAAACACAGTTGGAGAAATTTACAACGAAATTCTTGACTGTTACTCTAACACAAGCATGTCAGCAACAAGGGTGTATTATTATTATTCCTTCCTTTAGTTCCTAGAGGAAAATAGGTCTTCAGCCGAACGTCTCCATTGCGTTCGGTTCACTTTTAGTGTCTTCACATGACTCCAGGTCTGCCCACATGCTTTCATCTCTTCTTCACTTGACTTCCTCCATGTCACCCTCGCACTGACGACCAACTAATTCGTCATTTCCCATTCGAGTTCCACACGAGCGATGGCTTGGCATGTGATGTCACTCACTTGATGGTTTTCTCAGAGTACGGTCAACCCACCTTCATTTTTCCCTGCATATTCATTGCACAATCAGTTCTTGCTAGGTCGTTTCGCTCCCAGAGATCCCTGTTGCTGATCTTTTCTGGTCATCTATCTGATCTTGAGTAGTATTGAGTGAAGACAGCTGTTGATGAAGGTCTGTAGTTTGTTCAAAGTGGCCTTCATGACGCGGCGCCAAGTCTCTGATCCGTATAGCAACACAAGGGTGCTGGAATTCATTATTAGAAGGGTATCAGGTGATTAATAATTCAGGAGGTGATGAATTTAATCCTGGTTGGGATTTCAGTGAGAATTTTAAAGATTTTTGCTATTTTTACCATTGCCAAGCCAAGAATGGATGAAATCGGTGTGTATTTCCAGGTGTTACATACCAAGAAGATGATTGATCTGATAAAATATGTACTTTAGGACATTTCATGACTAGAATGTTATACCTTTGGCTTTATACAACTTACTTAGTCTAACTTTTGGGGGATTTTCAATGTCAGATATTCAGCAGTTAGTAGTAATAATAATAAGAATGCCATTATTATTTCAAACAGTACATTTGATATACTGTGGAATTCTCAGCATGTAGTACACACTATTAAACTATTAAGTTTTCTCTCTACATTATCTAGTAAGAGGAATGTAAATCATCAACAGTAATTCCATACAAAGAAGGAACCTCGGAAGCCTTACGCAGAATTCCTAACAAGGCAGGAATAAAAGTGGCATTCAAACCCACAAACTCAATGAAAAAACAAGCTTTGTCGGTTAAAGGATCAATCCTATGGAGCCAATAAGACAAAACAATTTAGTTTATCTAATACCCTGTCTGCAATGACTGTGAGGTCAAATACATAGGTCAAACTAGTAGAACAGGGGCAGTCAGACTAGCCGAACATAAAAACCTAGCTAAATCTAGATTGGTTGACCCAAATAAGATAAGAAATCTAGAGAGTAGTTCACCTATACCACTCACCACATGCAGTTACACACAACCATACAATAGGATGGGATAGGATGACAGCTTTAAAATCTAATGTCACAGGGTATAAGGAGAGATTGATAACAGAAGCTTTGTTTATCGAATCAACTGCAAATACATGTAATAGGAAGGATTCAACACCTGTCCCAGATATATGGAAAATTCTACTGCCCATACAACAAATAGGAGAAGACAGAGAAAACTATAAAAATCAAATCTCGAAGTCGTGTGACAAAAATTGATATGATTATGAACAGTAAATTGTGTTCGAAACGTCATCCAGTATACAATACTGTTTCACTGTGTGATACATTTAATAAACA